CCGATGAGGCCGCCAGTCGACTGGCTTTGGCTCAACAAGAGCTCGATCTGGCCATGTCCGCCTACCGTCGCGAAGAGGAGCGTGTGGCCAAAGCACGTAAGGGTGCTGCCGCCGCGAGAGACCGGCTGGCTGAACGGGAGCGACAGGTGCTGCAGACGGAGCGGCAGTTAGAGCGTCGATCGACTTCCTCCGCCGATGCCAGCCGTCGTCGTTCCACTACTGGTAGCGCTGACGCCTGCCTGAGAGAGGCCCTGCAGACCTCCAGCACAGAGCTTACCGAGGTGCGGGCAAAGGAGGCAGCTCTGGTGGAAGAAGTCGGCAAACTTCGCTCAACCCTCTCGGAGGCTAAGTCGTCTTTTCAGGCAAGACAAAGCACTTTCCCCCTTTACCCGTCCATTGTTCGCAATTTTACCTTAAGTGTATCATATAAAGGGATCTTGTTGTCTGATCGTTGACTATCTACTGGTCTGTCCTGCACGGACCAGGTGTGTGTGTGTGTGGCACGCCTAGTTGAGTTGTTTAGCTACGTCTCTGTCTTGTCAGCAGGCTCAGATAAGGTGAATGCGGGTCAAGTTTTCTATCATTGTAAAATAGTTCATGTGCAAGTCACCGTTCCTGCATACAGCATCCTGTGAGGCACGGGGTGGACGGGTAGCGACGGTATTTTCCATCTTCTTTTTCTCCTCCCCTCTCCCTCCTCCTCATCATTACACGTTTCCAGGTATGTTTTCTTCGCGCTACTACCGCCTTTAGCAGTAAGGAAACTGTTTGCTTGATAACGCTGGACCTTCTGTCTCATCAGCAGTGAATTTTAAGCGTTATGACAAAACCCGTCATCAGTAGAGACGGCATTCTTCCTCCTTCTCGCTTCGTTTTTCCCCCCTCTCCCCTCACCCTCCGCCTCCTCCCCTCCTGCTCATCATCATAGTCGTCGTCTTTCCTTTCCCGTTTTCTTCCTTTCATGTTCTTATTTTTTTGTCTTCCTCGTTTCTTCCTCCTTCGCTCGTCTTCCCCTTCTCCCTCCCTCCCTCCCTCCCCCCTCCCTCGCTCTACTTTCCTCCTCCTCCTCCTC